ACAAAAAGAAAAAGACATCATGTCAGATTATTTATATATATTTCTTTCTCATGAGTTCTGTTATGGATCACCCATTTTACACATTATTACAGCAGCTTTCCACAGTACAGAACGAACAGATCAGCTGTTTCTCACAAAGGTTCATAATGTACCTCCTCTGCAGTTTCCATTGAAGTGACCTAAAATCAGCCTTTACCTGTCAGTGTACCTGCTGATTTAAGGCAGATATACTGTACAGTGTGAGAGTGGTTGGTCCCTGAGAGTGTTGGAGAGCAGAGGGGAGACAAACACTGTGCTGCTGCCAGGAGACCTGCTGTAAGGCAGCTCAGCTCAGGACTGCAGAGACTATAAATAGCTCAGCTCAGTCTTCCACAGGCACCACCCACCACATTAGCCCATGTGGCAAAACAGCAGCACAGAGAAAACAACACCAATGCACACTGTAGGCCTACTCCATTTAACCTGTTAAGCCCTGAGCCTGTTTTTCAGGTCTCAGGCTCGAAAATGACATTCCCAGAACAAATGACCATACGTGACGAAGGTAACTTCGACTGACGGCTTCAGGCCGGGTAATATTTATTAGCGTGATTGCACAGTACAGTTGACATTAGATATTTGCACATAATTTATACTAATTATTGAGGTAGTATTTTTTAACTGATTAAACCGTATTTATTGGAATGTCGTCTGGCAGGTGCTGGTCGGGTCCTCGGCTCCGCTGGAAAAGATAGGGGAGTTTGCGAGAGCGCCGAGAGTAGTTATGCTGGTGTAAAGATGACAGCGGTTGAGAGTAATCTAATCAGGGTGCAAACAATATGTTGATGTCTGTGGCTGATGATTGTGTGCACCTGGTGTCCTGTGTTGTCTCCTCCCGCCTAACCTGTGTCTTGTTAGTATGTGTGTATTTAGGTGCTGTTGTAACTGGGTGTGTGTGTGAGATCCTTGTGGCTGCAGGATGTGTGCAAGGAGAACAACAGGATTGAGGCTGTGAACTTTGTGCACATGATTTTAATAAATGCCCACGTCGGGTTATATTTTTGGACGTTCTGCCTCTGCTTCCAGTCCTTGCTTGGTCTGGGCCGCTCAACGGTCAGTCCTCACATCTTCCCTTCTAAAAGGGTTAAATTAATAATATTTTTTCTCAAAGCAAGGTTACACCTGTGAGTTGGTTGTAGAAGTGTCAGAATCAATATAGATGTTTTTATTTTAAAGTAAATTCAGATTGAACACAGTAAAAAAATGTAAATGATTGTGTCCGTCCAAAGAAAAAGTACTTATAGTGAAAAAACCACCCTTGAATGATGGGATGGTAGACTAAAAGCTTTAGGAATCCAAACTACAACATATAATAAGTACCCTGTATCAAGATTGATGCAAAACAAGTGAAATGTGACCTTTTTAGAGAGATTTAGCAACAAAAAAACACTTCTGGGGTCATACTCCTTATTTGGTAATGTGTGTGTGTGAGACTGACGCATAGCCAATACCGGAAGCTGCGATAACTCTGGTGGCTACCATTAGCAGCTAACTTTTACTCTCCGATTTTTACATAAAAATTGAATTATGGATAATAAATTAAAAAAAGTATTCCACAGAAACATTATCAACCTATGGATTAACCGATTCAGCCACGTTTTTTCTCGTTTTAATGCCATTGAACAAGTATTTTGATCAGATTGACAGCTAAGGTGAGACGATCTCCCGTAAAAGCTACGTAAAGGTACGTGCTGTGATGTCTGTGTTTGCTTCCCCTGTCGCGAGTTCGGATCACTCAGTGATGATATATATATACCTAAATAATCTGTATGTGCAGCTACGATAAGTAATAAGGGTATCTTTTATCTTGAGTTCTGTGCCAAAGTACGTTAGCATTTTTCGCTCAGGGGTCATTTAGATGCTTCTTATGAGACTTGTGTTTTGTTTTGGTAAAAATGGTTTGTATCGTCAATTAGCTGAGATTATTCCCGTTAATCTGGTATAACACATTAATAGGTTCTTAAATATTAAGATCCCCTGAGACACGGTGTCGTGAAAAAGTACCCGCCGAGGGGGACCTTGGGGCTTAACAGGTTGAGCAGAGTCAGCATGATCACTGCTGAATGTGGACATGGAGAAAAACGAAGAAACTGTCAGAAATATAAACAATTAGAGAAGGGGGTTAACCGGGTCTCTGGAGATATAGGCCAGTATTTTTGCTCTTTGTCTAGTGCAGGGGTGCCCAACCAGTCGATCGCGATCGACCGGTTGATCGCGGGGAGATTCCCAGTCGATCGCGAGATGTGTCTAAAAATAGAACAACAATATTCTGTTTTATCGTTAATGTCCTGTAACATAATCTTCCTGTGGCAGAATAATGCACTTGAACGCATCAACGCTTTGTGATTGGCCGGCGTGACCCCATGTGTCGGGGCGTGGCTGGTGAGCAGTGGGCAGTGCACTAGTTCGCTAACGTTGTCCGTATGAGTGACAGTCCGCACACACACAAGACCGCAATTATGGCAGAAGCAAAACATATATAATTTTCACTCCGAGTGGGAGGATGATTATTTTTTTATCTATTCCAATTCAAAGTCCATCTGTCTCATCTGCAATGTGAGCGTGGCTTTATCGAAGAAGGGTAATTTAGGAGCGGCATTTCAAAACAGTGCACAAACGCTGCGAGACGGAACTCCCTCCTCATTCTGCCCTACGCTCTAAAAGGGGAGGGGCCTGAAAGGACAGCTAAATGCACAGCAGTCCATTTCCACCAGGCCCAACAACAAGAGCAAGGCTGCTGCCATAGCATCTTATCGTGTCAGTCACGTTCTTGCGAAACACATGAAGTCTTTCAAAGACGGCGAAGTTGTGAAAGAAGCTTTCCTGGAGGCTGCCGATGCGTAATAAAAATAACAGTAGCATTTCAACAGGTTTTTGATATGATAAAAACTCAAGTTAGATACCGTTATTAATCAGCTGTAAGTTTTAGTTTGTTTGAACTTAGTCATTATAATTATTGTACAAAATGGTATAATAATGCAAACTTAAATTGATTATAGTCTATCATCAATTCAGGTTAAGAAACTAGTGTTGCTTGCATCCTATTTTAAAGGCATTTCTTTTTATAATCTACTAAAATGCAACAAAAAAAGGGTTTGATTCTATTAATTTTGTCTTTTTTATTGAAATTTGACAGCAGATTCCTGTGTAGCTTCAGATTAGTAAGCCTAATTTATACTTTTGTAGCAACACTATTTTTTATATAATGGCAAAGAAAGGGTTCAGAGTCTTTTCTTTTATCCCTGTCTCATATGTGGCAGCACTGTTCAATGTTTTTTGAAAACATTACCCACTGTAGTGACGTGTGAATAAACTCCAACTCTGTATCAACAACACTGTTGTGTAGCTTCAGTTAAATACTTGTATGTGTGTAGATTAGAAAGAGGTAAGATAAAGGATCTGCAGTATTTTATGAAGTATTAATCGTACAAAGGTCAGTTTTATACAAGTAGAAGTGTGTATTTACCTGGTAGTAGGCTGTCAGTAATGGCTACGCCCGTCTATTTGGACTGGTAGATCTCGGCAGACTGGCAACTTTAAAAGTAGCTCTCGGTTCAAAAAAGGTTGGGCACCCCTGGTCTAGTGTCATTTCAGCAACAACACGTATTCCTTATAAGACCAGGAAGTCCAAGAAAAACATGATGTTAAGTTTTAATGAAAAACACAATTTAAATTAAATGTGTATACTGTATTTTCTGTTGAGTTTTACCCTGCATTTACATTTTCTCAGAAAAATGTTAGTTTTAAGGATAAACACCTCATGCAACCCCTGATAAAATGAAATCAGACATTTATAAATACATACAACCAAATACACTGATTAATTTAGGTAGGTCATTGATAAAAATAGACTAAAAATAAATAGGAAAATAGAAAAGATAAATTATTCAATTTAAAGAGTTGAAATAAGTTTCAATTTCATTAACTTTCCAAGAACGGATAAAAGCTTTAAAGAAGAGTATTGCACCCGCTTAAAATTAATTGCTTTATGTAAACAAAGTGGCTTTCGAAGAGAATGAAATAATGAATATTTGGTTTATTAGAACTGCAGTTGGTTTAAAGATTAAACTAGGTGAAAGTAAAATTAATGTTATGCACCAGAGCAACGTTTCTAAAGGCAGAAGAGTTAATAACATCCAGAATCAATACAATGTTCTGTACCTAAATAAATATTGAATTTCTGTGCAAACAACCCACTATTAAAAAAATAGTTCTGCCAGTGTCTCAGTGGGAGTCTTTTGCGCTGCAGAAACAAGAAGATAAGACTCTTATCAGAAAATGTAGTCGATCCTGGGAACCCAGATTAGGGATTTCTTTAATCTCAGCACAGTGGTTTTAGATTACATTGCTTCATTTACTCAATAAACATGTCAGTGTGTGTGGGCTATTTCGAGTCTTAATTTATTTCTACTGTGGAAAGAGCATCCACACACTTTCTATAAAGTTCAGTTTTTCTCTTATTTGACAATATTGTACTTTAAATTGAATGCCAACAAAGCACTTAAAATGGTCAATGCTTTTACTGGAAAAGAGTCTTAACCTCCCATAAAATCAATGAAGTGCATTAGTATTGTAGCTTTGATGTATATGTAAGGTTATTATACAGTGGAGCCACTTCTAGTGCTCACACAAACCCTTATTGTATCATTTTTATTAAACATAACCTATTATCTCCTATCAGATTCAGGAATTAACTAAAATGTGTTTTCCTTTTCTTGGATTTCCTCAAGGTTGTTCCCTGAATGTTGTATCAGCAGTTAAGAGGATTAATAAAACAATGGCTGGAGCAATTTATCAATCAGCGATTATGTAACATCCAAGAATAACAGTGTAGACTATAGAAGATAAACAGTAAACACAGGGGAAAAGGGCGCAACTGTTTCTCTGCTAGCTGCATTCTGTACAAATATCTCGTTTCAGTATCTCAGCCGCTTTAAGATTACAAAAACCACAGTCACATCTGGTTCTGTATTAACGAGTTGAAATATTTATTTTAAAAACTGAAAAAATAAAAACAAACCCACCAACATAGTTTTAGTATATCATACAAAGACATATTTCAATGTTGCTATGTGAGTATTTGTTTCTCTTTGACTACAGTGTGAGGCAGTTTGAAAGGCTGGCTGAGCTGGAGCACTACAGACACCAGAGAGGAGACACAGAGAGGTTAGCAACCAATATCTGGGCCAAAACACAACCAAACATCACTTTAGGTGCGTTCAATTCACCTTTTGATACACTTTAAATACTGTAAAGAAAGTGATCTCCTTCTTTAATGGTATCTTTTTTGTTTTGTATTCCAAATGTTTACAAAATCAGCTAACCAGGTGTGGACGAAGTGACAAAAAAACATTTAAAATCATTATTAAATAGATGTGAACCCAGGAGTACCGCCAATAATACTTGTTTGTTTTAACCTGCTTAGAGAAATAGTATTATCTAAATGGGGGAACAAAATAAAGTTGGCTAATAAAACACTTCTGATTCATTAATCTGCTCCCGCAAGTAACTTTAAAAAAAAAAGTTAGACAGCTGAAGCAGAGTGCCGTAACAAAGTAAGTTAAGACACACAGAGACAAACTCCAAGAGAATCATCATGGCTGTCATTAAACGGAACAAAGAAAATAAGGTTAAAACAGATGCCAACTCATCTCATGGTTTACACAAAGGCATGATCACAGTCCATTCAGTCCATCAGTCTCTGGAAAATCTGTGAAATAACAACCTCTCTCTCTCTCTCTCTCTCCCCCGGTGGCCTTCGTGTGCACCATCTTTGTATCCTTAATTAAATTAATCTGAATCCTTACTTGGAGCGATGCAAAACAGTAATGCTTTTAGATTGAAAGTAAGCAAAAGATTATTCCCAACCTTAGAAGGCCTGTAGTTTATATACACAGCTACTTGGTAATTAGGAGGCGATTGAAAACACTGCAGTCACTGTGCCGCACACTTTGAGTCCATTGTGACAGTTAGATAATGAAGGATCGTTGAAAACTGCACTTAACCATCAGTCCTACAGGGCATGTGAAGAGGCATGATCATATGATTAGCCGGATAAAACATTTCATAGATTTGTGCAGCCTCTACTGTCCCAAAACATTCAAGTTCACCAATCCAACTTCTGAGGATTTCCTTTTGGGGCTCCTGCTGATTTCCTCTCTCGGTTTAACATCCTCTCTGGGAGAACGCTCGCTCGACTGCAATGTCCATGGATGTAACCAAGCGAACGTCCTGGTTAGCAAACTGTCAGAAAACCCCCTCCAGAACTGCTGCTTCTGTGACTGATTTCTTATAATAATAATAATAATAATAATAATTCCTTACATTTATTATAGCGCTTTTTCCAGATGCTCAAAGTGCTTTACAAATACACATTACACACATATCATATATGTAACGGTCATGTACTGTGGACAATACCCACAGGAGCAAATTCACTGTTTCATCGAGGATATTTGTAAAAATATGCATCAATATGGATCTTAAACTGTATAATACATTGTTTGCTTTTGCTGACAGACTTGAGCTGTTGTTGCTTTTTCTCGATATATAAAAATGGGTTTTTCCTCTCACTATCCACTGGAACCGGTAAAAAATGGGAAATGAAAAAAACGACCCCATTGTTTTTAGTGTTTGACAGATTCTCTCATTGTTACACCTCTGACGCTGAAGAGGTTGTTGGCAGTCTCAGCGCTCATAAGGAAAAGAAGAAAAATATATTTTCCTTTTCTGAAACCTTTCCCAGTTTAGAGCATTTTTTAAAGAGTTTCCATGCAAGCGTCTGTGAGAAGAAGAATAAAAAACCAGAGGTCTGCTCGGGTAAACAGTCACGGTCGTTACAATGGTGGAGAGGTGAAAGGCAGAAAGTCCAGTAAACCAGCCAGTGAAGTGGTATGGACTTAATACGGTGATAACTCACAGTGTGAAAAGAATAGGAAGAAACTAGGGAGGAAGATAAAGACATGTAAAGAGCAGCTCAGGCTCCCACAGCTTTAAAACACGTGTTTTAGTACGAGAGCATGCATGCCATCTATGTAGCACAGAGACATGATTTGGGGGCTGGTGCAGAACAGTCACTGATGTCCACTCTCACTGCTGAAAGGTTGTGCAGAGCATCCTGGGATGTCTTGAGTGGGAACTTGTGCTCGTAGCTTCTCCTCCTTTTGTTGGAGCGCCGTTATTTAGAACCGGCGAAGAAAAAGACAATAAATACTGGGATCCACTTCACTTCCAACGCTTTGCACCAACACAGTCCTGGGGGAGAGGCAACAGTAACATCCTCTTGTTCCTCCCTTTGACACCGCCCATCGCTGCACCCTTGGTTCCGTCCCTTATGGAAGCTTTTGGACATGGGTGGAGAAGTAGGTTTAGAAAAAAGAAGCACCTTTTAATTTGGCTTAGAGATAAACAAACAAAAAAGAGAGAATAAAACAAGGGAGAAAGAGAGTGAAGGGTGTATAAATAGAAAGGCAGGCAGAAGCCGGTCTTCTGGTGGTGGAGGGAGTTCGACCCTGGTCTCAACCTGTCACTGTGGAGAAGAAGCAGAAAGACGCATTTTAGTTGTTTTTATTTTTAGGGTATATTCAGAGTACTGTAGTTGTCCTCTGTCCTCACCTTCCTCTCCATCGCCCCAGCCCTCTGCTACCCCCGCCAGCTCGTAATGTTTCTTCCTCAGCTCGCCGAGTCGCTCGCGCTCCTTCTGCAGACGGGTCTCCAGCTCCAGAACCAGAACCTGAGGAAACAGACCGACACTTATCATCTTCCTGAAGCCGTTTACTTCGCCTCACAAACCACAGAAAGCCTCAAATCTTAAACAGATCATTGCTTTTGAGTGACATACAGAAAATAGATGGATGAAGAACAGGCTAAGTGGGAACAAATAGTGCTTTATGTGGGGGAATCATGCAGGATTCTTGATGAAAATACTCCTCGTTATTTTTATAATTTCCCTATGATCAACTGACCGTTATAGGAGGCCACTTTAATATACAGTTAATAATTCAGATTACTTTAATGTCCATCAGATTGAAATGTGTCGGGCACTGGCATTTAAGACACATAAAAACTATTTCAAAGCAAAGGAAACAATTATTATCTTTTCCAATTATCTATGTCTGTGAATGCGTTCTAAACAATCAGCATTGGCATATGTTAGGATTTATTTGAATATACAAGATTGTCTATAGAACAACAACACAATGAGAGTTGAGATCAGTTCCCGACAATCCTTGCTTTCCAGGGAAAATGAAGTCTTGACCAACGGCACAGAGGAGGTGCGTCAACTAATGCTCAATCAAAACAGGAAGAGGATAGCTCATTTGTTTTCCTTTTAGCCATCATTAGCTACCTTCAGTTACCAAAGAATGTCATGTAATTACTTTACAGTAACTATTCCCAGTAGTGGAAATGGGGGACAATAAGACAATTAAAGCAACTATGGAAAATAAGATGCAGTTTGCATCCTGTGTTGTGGGTGGTTGCTAGGCTCTGAAATAAACCAAAAAGCGATCCGGTTCCCTTTGAGACAGAAAGGATAATTCTACTTGGAAATGCTAGGGAGGGAAAAGTTGAAAAGTTGTGTGGTTCTACATTAGGACTTCATTAAATTCACATCAAATAGAGGCACTGTGTGCATTTAAAACAATGGACCGTGTGTGTGAGCAGGTCCAGACCTTTCTGTGTTTTTCTTTCAGTGTCGGGGGCAGCAGAGCCAAAGCACAGAGAGAAGTGTTCACACGGGTCTGACATGCGACTTCTCAATGGACAAAGAACAATACATCTACTGAGTGGAAACTTTATTGGCCCTAATAAAGTATTAAAGGTCCCATGTTATGCTTTTCCAGTTATTACCCGTCCCCTTGTGTGTTATGTAGCTTTTTCTGCATGTAAACGGTCTGCAGAGTCACAAACCCTCAAAGTACACCCTGTAGCGAGTAAAACTCTAACACAGAAAAGACCTGTCTATGCTGCCCCAGAACGCCTCGTTGGAGATTTAAATTTTTCCATTATTTTTTTCCTGAGTATGGTGACGTAACCATGCCCAGGTCCAAATGGACCAATCCGTGGAGCTCCTCACACACACACACACTCACTCACTCAGCCTTATATTTTCTCAGCTGCGGCTCCGCGGATTTCTCAGCCTGAGACAGCCAGGCTGTGAGTGTGTGCGTGTGTGTGCTCAGGCTGAGTTCAGGTGAGTTTCGCAGTGTCTCGCAGCAACCAGGAAACGACCTAAGTAATCTAGCTTACACTGTCCGCAGCAGCGAGCCCCGCAAAGTCCCACGGCACCCAGACCCCACGCAGCATTCTCATCTGTTTGTCATTACTGGTGTCATTTTCTGGTTGCCAATGCCATTGTAACACATAATCACTGATGTTCCGCTGTAACGGTCGTGGACCAATCAGAGTGGGCTCATAGGGAGGGGGGGCAGGAGCTCCAACAAGCCGTTTAGGACAGAGAGTGAATACATACTATACAGAGATGCTGTATGAGAAACCAATGTGAGTTTGGAACATTGAACAATGTAAATATATTCTAGTAGACCTCAACAATGGAATTATGATCAGTAGAAATGGCCATGTCATGGGACCTTTAAATAACTCTTTCCTAAATTGTTTTGCTTCTCTACTTAATTTTAAACACGTTTGAAGCTATGTGGCTTATTGAAATGGTTATATGTTTGCTGTGTTTTGATTCTTACCTGCGCATCCATCTCTTGTCTTTTGATCTGTGTGAGAGTCATGCTGGAGAAGTCCATCGTATCTGAGCACCAAAAACAATTCATGATTATTTTCAAGAACTACTACGTTTTTCTTCCTTTTAACTTAACTAATAAGAAATGAACTGGACATTTTGTCTTATGATAAAAAAAAAACCCCTCAAACAAACAAAGTAAATCAATGACACTGTTAACCAAATGATCTAACTTAATGTGATTGTCTCACCTTTCTCTTCGATCTGGGACTTCCCAGACTTGGTGGAGGCCACGACGGCTGCAGTCGCCTGTGTGACGCCGCGGGACGCCTGCTGGAGGCGCTGCAGGTTAACGCTGTCTTTGTCTGCTTTCACCTACAGGAAAAATACAATAGACATGACATCTACAGCATGGAATCGGTGCTAAGAAATGATTTACTTTAACTCCATTAGCAAAGCAAATACCACACAATTTAGACAATTCCTCCCCCCAAGAGAACGAAAATGATGTACTCTTTGCTCACCTTGGATGCAGCCACTAGCTGTGCTGTGCTGGCAGCTATTTCATGTGAACACACCATCAGCTCCTCAAACTTCCCTTTGCCCTGCACCACCAGATCAGCAGCATCTCTGGAACAACACAATGATGAGGTGAGGATCACTTTGATGACAACACAGTGAAAAACGCCTGATGTATGATTGACCCTCCATGTTAATTAAGGCCTGATTTACTGCTTTGTTTGTCTGTTATCTATTTCCTTGTAATTCTGTAGGACAATAAGACTTAAAACATTGTTATCCTCTGCAGTGAGTTGGAGTAACTCAGAGGGGACGAGTGATACTTACACCATGACAGTGGCGCCCCATCCCACTGCTTTGGAGGCAGAGATCAGGCCCTCAGTCCAGCGGGAGTTCTTGGCATAAAATTCCTTCATGGAGGCTGCCCCCTGGTGGACAAAAGAGATATATAAAGAAATGTTATAAAACATGTTTCATGACACTTCCTAAACTCTTGGGCAAGAGTGCAGGGCTTCAACTTATGCTTCTTTAAAAATATCTATTAATATAACAATTGTTTTGTTGAATCATCTTTTAATTGTTTAATCTATAACCTGTCAAAAAATTGTGAAAAATGCTCCAAAATCACAACTAACCAGAGTCCAAGACGATATATTTGTATTGTCTATTAAAAGTACAAAACTGTACCAATTTAATTTACTCTAATGTGATACGAGGAAAAGGTAATTTCTTGACTTATGGTTACAGCTCTAGTCTGGACACAGTATGATGAAGATCTGTGCAACATAGTGCAATCAAATATTACACGCTGCAATAAATGCACTTTAAAATATGTTGGGAGTGTGAGAAGAGACTGCATTATACTGTAAGAAGTTTTAATAAAAACAATTATTGGTAACAAGTTATTTTATCATAGTAAAAAAAGCCAAAATCACACATTTCTTGAACCACATATTTACATAAAACCGACCTCATTTCCTCCAAACTTTGCATATTTGAATATATAGTCTACCCATCAGGATTAAAAGACTGCACAGCAGCAAATACTCAGCTAGTAAGGAGAAAGTAGATGTTGGAACTAGTGAAATGATGCTGAAGATCTTGTGAATTTATTTTAAATAATTTGACCCACATCTCTTTTTTAATGTTAAAAGCTGTATTTTACAGTCTATGGTCAACACACAGAAGAAGAACCTGCAGTGTAACTCACCCTGCCGCTTTCCACGATGTCCCTTTGCAGATTTTTGGAAGAGACAACGAGCTGCTTGATCGCCTGCATCAGCTCCGTGCAGGACGCCAGAATCCTGCAGAGGGCGACAGAGCAGAGGACAAACACTGTCACTGGAAATCTACAGCTGCAAGCATCTGTATTTCAACCATCCTGGAACATTTTAGATATGCAGCATAAAACAGAAAGAAATAAGCTTCTACGTTATTTGGAAATAGCAGTTAAGTAAGTCTTATATTCTAGTGTTTGTAGCTGCAATAATTGTTTGTTTTGTTTCTAAATGTCTCTCAATGGTGCTGCAGTTACTTGGAAAAATACCCCTTAATTATCAAGTCAGAGAGAACAGAGGAGCACAGAAAATCTAATTGGCTTAATTTAGACACAAAGAGCATTAGTGCACAGATTGGATTCACATCTAAACCCTACAAATGAACTGATACTTCTCTAGCTTCGTATGATTTAGAGAAGATGCATGCAGCAACATCAATACAGCAGGGAAGTTTAGATCAGTGTCTCATCAAAGATTTGTGAACTTCCTGGATGTTTGAGTTGAACCTTATATGTTGAAAGAACTAACGATAAGACATCTTTGCAGCTCCAGATAAATGTGACAGACATTACCAGCATTACAACTACAGAATGCCCACTAAAGAAACTCATTTCAGGCTTGCTTGGATGAAGAACTGCAGAACAACATGATGTGCTCAGACTTCACAGTTTGCATAGGCTGAGTGGCTGAACTCAGGCATTCTCTGCACGTCTCTCCTCAGTGTGTGACCGTCTGAAATATCATGTGACTGTTGTGCATCTCTATTTCCTCTCTGCAGATCATTGCCTTCGTTGGAATCCATTACATCTTGTGGTCAGCTCTTTCAAAAACAAACAATTCGAGGCCTGGCTCAATAACAGATGAATTGGTTCCTCCTCCTATCGCTGAGCAACTCCATTTGTCTTTAAACTGAACTATCAGCAGTTGTTGATTTGCAAGTGTATGGTTAAGTTATGGATCCTTCTTTAATCTTAGTACAAACAAAGATAAAGTCATAAAGAAATCAGTTTGAGGCTCAACTGAAGCACAATTCAGTCAAATGTGATGTTACTGTAAAGCCTAATGAGATTGAGATGAGTTCGAGACTCTTTAAGTACTTCTTTAATTAACGTTAAAACGTATTTTTGATATCATTATTGTGATTGTTCAAATGCATCTTATTTTGTATCTGTGCTTTACCTCTCATTGACTTCCATGTGGATTCCCGTATCACTTGCTCGAGACTTGTTGAGCATTTCCTGTTAGGAGGCAAAGGAGAGACAAAAAAACCCACTTTGAAGTTAATACTGTTGGAAAGTTAAACCCAGGGGCTATGTTTTTTACACTGCTTGCAAAGAGCTTTACAGAAACACACACATACACAGCTAATAGCAAGTGCATTTACAAACACATCTCTCACCAGATGACCACAGCTTAACACACGCTTTACACACACTCTTCACACACCTCTATCCTGGCAGCAGCAGACTCCACAGCAGCAGAGGTGGCAGACATTTCCTGCTCCACCATATCTCCCAGCTCCCCCTGCTGCAGCTCCAACCCCCGAGGACGCAGTTTCTGAACAAAGACACATGAAGAGTTACTGATGTCAGTAAAACAAATATCTACACTTTCTCCCTGGCTAGATTCTGTGAAAGGAGGGATGATAACATATTGATCCAGTTTTGAGCGATGTAATGTATCACATTGGGGCAAAATGGTCATCTTTCCCACTGTCAAAATCAGCTAAATATGTATTTAATGACATTAAAGAGTCTTAGATCACACTAATCTACATTGCAAACCCCAGCACGTCGCTTTACAACTTTAACAGATTGAGACTTTGTGTAACCGACTGGATCATGCATACTGCTAATGCATAATATCATCAATCCTGGCCAACCAGTGGCAACAAAAAAGGCACTTTAAATTCGAATTCTCCTGATGGATTTCATTGCAGCCCAGTTTGCAGCAGACGGCTGCAGTGCTGAATACTGGACCAATTGTTTTAAATACTTGCTCCCATTAGTCATTTAAGGCACAAAAATCCAGGTTAAAAATAAGAAAGGCTCCTTTTAAGCTAATCACTGTTCTCATAATACAGCACATTTTATGATTAGGGAGTGCAAATGTTGTATGTGTATAGTATAGTAGTGAGCATGGACCTCTGCAGCGGCCAGGATGGCCTCCAGAGCGGCCTTCAGCCTGCTGCTGTCTGCTGCCGTCAGGCTGTCCCTCTGCTTCATCAGGCCCAGCAGGTCCAGAGCTTCAGCGCCGCACAACTTCACACTCTCTGACAGGGCTGAGACAAGGACACACAGGGCATTCAAGTGTGTAAAACATATACACAAAGGAAAGCACCACTGATAATATTAAATATAAATACACTTACAAGAGTTAAAGCTAACAAATGTGATGCTGCAAAATCATTCACACTTAATTGTCTGTTAAATGACCATATCATTTCTTCTGTTAACTCTGATATGCATCAGCGCCACTAGCGGCTGCAGCTGCAGTGTTAATTATACTGATGACCTCCCCTCAGGCAAAGTGTCACCTAACAGCTGAAACAGCCGCTATGGTCTGATAGGAGGAAGAGGGGAAACCAAAACTACAGCAGCTGCCCGCCTGTTTTTATAGCTGCAGGACAGACAGCTAATGTGATCAGATTGAAGAAAAGCTTTTGAATGCTGCATTCAAATGTTTCGACAAAGTAAAACCTACTGTTATATACGGTTTATGGATCAAACATAGGGTCAGCATTTATTTTCAGGGTCAAGCTTCAATTGCCGCTTCAGTTCGACCCAGTTTGGATTCTATGTTATGAAACTTGATTGTAGTGAAAGGACTGCAGGCCAGAGCTCCATTATATTTAGGCATGCTTAGACTGGCCCAGGTTGCTCACATCTCCCAGGGGAGCAAAACCCTGCAAACATCACACTGAAGGAAGTCAGCTACTTTATTTTAATCGCGCATGTTTTGGCTGAAAAAATTATTTTTATTTCTAACTGCAGGACATTGATATAAACACTAAAACAAGATCTAAAACACTAACAGCAGAGATAGAGACGACAGTTTTGGCTTAAAATGCCAAACCTTACAGTACACGTATAACACATGAGGAGATATAAATTACCTAATGACATGTCACAACATGTTTCAGAAACTGACTTACCCACAGATTAATATCAGGAGATAATGATCTCTGACACACACACACACACACACACACACACACACACACACACACACACACACACACACACACACACACACACACACACACACACACACACACACACCACACACACACACACACACACACACACACACACACACATACCATCAGCTTGCTCCACAGGCACCATGTGGGAGGTGGCGCTGCCCTGAACGATGGTGTCTCCCACCAGGTGGCCACACTGGGTCACCACTCGAACCAGCTCAGATACACCTAGAGGAAACAAGAGATTTTTTAGACTTTAAGGATTCCCATTATTAACAAATACTAAAACTATATATTTATGCTTCCTGCCCTCTCGCTTCAATTCATTTTGTTCTTTGATATTACTCCCAAATTTAAATTACACACTAGCTCCGCCATCACCTTTGTTTTATCAGCGGTTCTTACTCTTCTTTATCATTTATGTGTCAAAGCCAGCACACACCGGTTCTTCCTCCTCACACGTGTTTCCACTTAGTTTGACTGATTAGACCTCTTCTCTGGTTGGATCTGCACAGACATGCTTTTTATGATATTTCCCTCACTAGCTTCTCAGTTAGGTTGCACCTGCTCACTTTTTGAAATAGTGCATAATTCTCTGCATAGTTTCCCAAAGACCCATCTTCAGTTAATCACTGGAAACACTTGTGTGGATATAATGGGATTTCAAAATGATAATTATTTTAAAAGTCTGTGGTTTCAACTACGTTATTCATGAACATTTTGAGTAGATAAACAGTTATCGAATGGCACTAAAGCATCAGTTAAAATGTCTGATTATATTTCATAATGTTGATACATACAGAATCTACATCCACCTTTTTGTTTGCCGCTTTAATAAATGAAATAATCTGTTATTTCTAACACAGTACTTTTACTTTTATTCTTGTATTTTATACCAGTCTTATTCGATGTTGACCATATTTTTATTTTATTAATGACTGTTTTTTCATTCTATAGTGTTATTATGTTGCATGACGTCCAAGGGCATCTAATGTTTCTCATTAAGTACTTTGAGAAATGTGTGACACAAATAAACTGGCCTTGCCTAAAAAACGCTCTCACCTGTGTTGTCAGCCAGGAAGGCCTCTCTGGCAGAGTGGAGTCTGTCCATACAAACTAAAGAGGCCTGACATCTGGATGCTAGGTAGTCTGCACAGATACACAAAAACAAAGAGCTTAGAAACCAACACGTAGGCATGCACACTACACAGTGCTAACTAGCATCAGCAGCTCTGACCTGCGGAGCTGGTGCAGCTGATGTGTGCCGGGTCGTTGATCTGAGCCAGTGAGTCTGTGATGATCCTCTCTGCCTCCTCCAGAGCTCCCTGCAGGCCGGACCAGCGCGCCGCCACCAGCTGGCTCTCCAACGCCTGCTCCCTGCTCTCCTGGGGACGCAAACACACACACATAAAAGCCTTTAATAGAAAGTGACATTAATTATTTTTGGGCAGCACCTGGAAGCTTTTTGACATTCTCCTAAATCCTTCAGGTTCATATGAGTTCACATTATCATTAGATAGAATAGATAGAATCGGAGGATGAAACCCTCTTTAATGGTCACACATACATGCAAACAGCACACACAGTGACATTTGACCTCTTTAACCCATCCTAGTACCAGGAGCAGTGGGCAGCTATTATAATATTTTATATTCCATTTACTTGTATATAGACTCTCCTTGCACTATTTCTATTATATTTGTATTTACTTGCACTATTTTATCCGTTTTATTTGTTCTAGGTCCTATATATATATGTTGCACTTTTGGAGGAGGCTGTGACCTAAGTTGTTCATCTACACTGTAATTAATGTGCAAATGACAATAAAGCCTTGAATTGAAAATGAATTGAATTGAACAGTGCCCGGGGAATTATTGTCATTTGGATGGTCTATGTTGTAAGTGTATTAAGTTATTCTGCAACACAACATACAGTATATTGCATGTATGTCTGTCCTGTCCTCTATTGCCCCCCCCTGGCGTGTAGTTTTTCACCCATTAATCGTACAGTAAGTTTGTTTGTGGAGTTTTGCCTTGTGTATTGCAAGAGTCTAGGGACAGAGAGTGTCATATACTGTGTGTAAAGCCAACTGAGACAAATGTGTATTTTGTGATATTGGGCTAAAGCTCCAAATGTTAGAATTAAGAGGCTCATTGGGCATGCTGGGTCCAGCTCTTGCTACAGCAACATCTAATGATTTATTCAGCTCATTCAGAAAGTGGATTAGGAAAGATGTTTGATAAAGTTATCAGGTACCTTCTCATTGAGCTGATTCTGCAGCGTTTCGGCTGCCTTCACCCCGCTCTCCCTCTCAGTCCCCAGCGAGCTCTGGACTTTCTCCAGCTCCTCCCCCTGCACAGCTAGCTCTGCCTCCACCTTCGACAAAGACTGCACAAGCTCCGCCTTCTCAGACTCCAGGGCGACCAGCTGGGTGCCGAGAACTTCACTCGACTGTGTGGACAAAATAAAAGATGGAGGGATAAAAGGAAAATGTGAATTTGAGGAACAATGAACCCACAAGAAGGCATGGTTAGGATAATAGGTAGCCGTCATGACATGTCAGGATGTGGTGTAATGCGACTGCTCTGACCTCACAATAAAAAACACTCTTTATCTCCAGAACTTTGATTACAACAATATGTTCTTCATTTCAGTTTGTGGAGAGGCGTAGAGTCTTCAGGAGTTTGGGTTGGGGTCAAGTTTACAATCAAACAAAGACCGGGAAGATGTGGTTATGAAACTTGGCTTCAACAAACATGAGGAGTTACATCAGATCCTGTGTACTTTACAAAATAACATCTTTAAACTGTTAACTACTGAGGTGAGTGCTTTTGAAGGTAAGAAGTGTGAGACTTACAGCCTGAGTCCCAGCAGGTCCGACAGAGAGGGAGAAATGTTGAGAAATGAAGAGAAACAGTATTAAGAATCTGGATGTAAACTGTGCGGCAGGAGCAAGTGAGAGCTGGAGGAGTGTGACAGGAGCGATGGAGCGTGGGCTGTGTGTGAAAAGAACTATGGAAATTGTAAAGATGGAGGAGGCGGAGAAAGAGGAGGACAGAAGAAGTGACAGAGGGGACAAGTAGTGGCTACAAAAGTAGCTCGTCATGAGGGGGAGGCAGAGATGGAATAAAACATGTGGAATTGGGCCAGAGGGAATCGAGAGCATCAGTGGGGTTATGTTGTTTAAAGGCATAACTTCATGGATTATTAAACTGGCACTTTTTATGGCCTTCAGATTGAAGCTAGCTGCTCAAAGAAACAAACTAACATGAGTATACTGACCCATTTACACAAGCAGATGTTTGGACAAGATTTGACTGCCTCTGTGTTTTCATTTTGGTCTCTTCTTTTAAAGAAATGCCTGCAGTCGCCTGTTACAAACATCATCTTTATGCAGAGATGACAAACGATGACAAACGCAGGCCGAGAGAGGATCAACAGGAAGACAAGCAAACTTTTGTACTACCGTTTAAGCAATGTGCCCCATGATGTGAGAGAAATGTGTTAGCATATCTCTTGTGTCAGATATTTGGTTGATATTTGGTTGTGCAAAGGACAGTCAGTGACTAAGAGGGGATATTGCATAACAAATGACAAAGAACATGAAATGAAGGGAGGGACAGATGTGTTATAGAGGACAAGACATGAAGTGCGAACACTAGGAAAATGAGAAAATGGTATTGATAATTATACTGCATCATACAAGCTCAACTTCCACATTACAGTCAGGATTCACAGTCTGTTCTCCAAACTGTAGTCAGGATGTAGTTTTCATAATGTGAACATTGCCTTATTGTTCCTGGTTAAAGGTCCCATGTCATGGCCATTTCTACTGATCATAATTCCATTGTTGAGGTATACTAAAATAGATTTATATTGTGCAATTTTCCAAAATCTCATTGGTTTCTCATACAGCATCTCTGTATAGTATGTGTATTCACTCTCTGTCCTAAACAGCTTGTTGGAGCTCTTTCCCCCCCCCTCCCTATGAGCCCAGTGGCCGTCTGCGAGACACAGCGAAACCCAGCCCGAACACACACACACACGCAGCCTGGCTGGGAGTTTGTGTGTATGCTCACACACCGACTGACAGCCTCGCCACGTCCCGCCGTCTCAGGGAGGAGAAATCGGCGGAGCTGCAGCTGAGAAAAGATTGTGTGTGTGCGTGTGAGGAAGTCACATTTGGACCAATCCACGGACGTAACGTAACGGCTCCACGGATTGGTCCATTTGGGCATGGGCACGTCACTGTACCCAGGAAGAAAACAATGGAAAAAGAGAAATCTCCAACGAGGCGTTCTGGGGCAGCATAGACAGGTCTTTTCTGTGTTAGAGTTTTACTCGCTACAGGGTGTATTTTGAGGGTTTGTGACTCTGCAGACCGTTTACATGCATAAAAAGCTTCATAACACACAAGGGGACGGGTAATAACCGGAAAAGCATGACATGGGACCTTTAATGTCAGTTTGACTTTCCACAAATACGGGAATGAGCGTCTAAGATGTAATCAACACTACGAAAATACTACAAAATGGTGTAAAAGTGAGATAAGCAAATAATTGATGACTATAATAAGGTTGCATGACGCAGGCAGCCCATTTTTAGATTTCCTCCAGACTGTGCTCCATTAGGATCACCCCGGTCTGTTAGTCATGGTGAAAAATGTCACATCATCAATTACTTTACCCTATCCTGTAGCAGCCACTATAATCTCTTTAAATTGGGACTGTTATAAATGAGTTTAGAAACTTATTTTACAGCAACTTCAGAGGTCTAGTGAGAAAGCTGCTGTTAAGCCAGGACTGGGCTGTATGTGAATTTGTGTTATTTCGTTACTAACACACAATATACCCCCTATATGTACATATATACTGTATATAGTGCCTTTGTGGATTTATTCATGTTGTCATTCCTTCTTCTCATTACATTCGTGCAATATATGTTAGAGCGTCTTAAGCATGTGTCTCTTTAGTGATGTTATGTTAAATGTCTGTTTCCTTGTATCTTGTCTTAAATATTTGTTGATGTTGCAAATGGAGCTGCTATGATGCAAGAAATAATGTGGACTTGATCTGCCAATAAAGTTTGATCGTATCATATCAACTTGCCAATTGCAATCACGCCTGATTGTATATTTGATGTTATATTTTTTATTATTTATGTCTTCCCATCAGATATCCCTATATCATTTTCATCTTCCTTTATCTTTTGTTGCTGGGCCGTTCTTTCTCGTCCAACACATTTCTATAATAGCGTTGACCCTGATTTAAAGTGCAAACAGCTATAAAGTAAAAACTGAAACTGTAAGTATCTGACCTGTTGTGTTGAGCCCACGGTCGTCTTCAGGGAGTCCAGCTCCGTCCGGCTGGAAAGCAGCTCTCTCTGCAGATCCTGAAGCTGCTCCAGCTGCTCCTTCTCCTGAAAAACAGAGTACAAATCTCACTTTAGAAATCTCTTATCAGCTCAGTTTGTAAAGCTTAATAATAACTTTTTACACAGACACAAATATACACTTTTATTAAAGGGGAATTTCAGAGAGCACAGTTTACAATGGAGTTTGTTGGACCTTTTTAATGGAATGTGAATCCCGAAAAAACTAATCTAAAAAGGTCATTATTTGTTCTCCTGCACCCTGAGGTTCAGCACTGTTGGACCCAGAGCCAATCATTTGACAGATAAACGCTGAGTTGGAGAACGGGGCTGGGCGTGTTTTTGCAGTGATAACAAAATTCATTTCGTACACACCTGTTTTTCTGCGATGTCCTGAGCGGCCTTCACTTTCTCTTGCATCTCTCTCCTCACTTCATCCACTTCATCCTGAGCCGCCTGAGCCACCGTCATCTGCCGGGTCACCTCCGCGTTCTGCAGACACACACACACACACACACACACACACACACACACACACACACACACACACACACACACACAGAAAAGGACATGGGGCACAGATGCCGACACGCAGAGAAAAACACCAAAAATAGTCAGGACAGAGGCTGGATTTTTAGCTTGGGGGATATTTAAAAAGGATAGCAGAAGGACAGGACTAAATATAACTTGGATGGGTTTTTTTTGAAGAGGGATTTATTGGACATGAAGAAGTCAGACTTTTCTCTCACCTTCCTCAGCAGGTCTGCATGACTCTGAACCAGCTCTGAGTACTTCTCCTTCAGTTTGGTGTAGCGCTGCTCATTGGCCTGAGCTTTTTCTGTTTAAAAACACACAACGGAATGACAGGCATTAACAGATTATAAGCAGGTAAATCATTGCTCCAACAATTCAGTTCCCAAAAGGGGTGGGGATTTGTCAGACAAAAAAGAAATGAGGGCAAGAACGCTTTAATGATTACAAACTACTATGATGGATTGATATATTTATCAGAATCATATCTTTACACCCATAATAATGTGACCAAGAAGCTTCCTGCTGCAGAGACAGATGTCCCGCCTTACTCTCTATCTCCGTCAGGCTCCGCTGCTCCTTCTCCGTGTCCTCTCGGACCCTCCGCAGGTCGTCCAGCTCTGCCTTCAGGAACTCGCTCTCTCCTGCCGCCTGCAGCCTCAGGTGGCTCTGCTCCGCAAGTTCCGCCTCCAGCTCACTGACACGTCCCCTCAGCGCCTGGCACAAGCGACCACTCTGGGGAGGGAAAGATATAGACAAAGAGATGGGAGAGTGAGCTAAAATACGTTGTTTTTGTGAGAGAAATTATATTTGTAAGATAACTATGCAGGCTAATTAGGAAATCGATGATGATAATTACATTACATAATTAGATTCTTTACCTCCAGTCGGAAAGACTCAAGCTCTTCTTTTAGGGCCTGGATCTCTCTCGTCAGCTGTTCAATCAGACGATCTCTGGAGGTTGCAGACAAAATATCAATCATGAAATCAATTACATTTTCAAGGTAACAGATGTATTGAAATTCAGGTTGATTCTGCTCCAGATATTTGTATTATATGTCCATGTTTACGTAATGAAATCAAAGATCTACTGTGTATCTCTGTTGTTTTTCAGTCCTTACTTGTCATCTTTGCGCATGCCGTTCTGACTGAAGTTGAAAGGGTCGACTGCAGCCGTGGTGCCAAAAAGGTCATCAAACTTCGTCTCCAAAGGAGCCTTTTAGAAAAGGTTAAAGAAAAAAAATCGAAATTATCAAAAAAAAAAAAAAAATTGCATCATTTTATTATTTCATTTGTTGTTAGTTATTATGAAACATAATACATTACTGCCTCTATAACTGCATGTATTCGAATATATATATATATACACTCAAGATACTAATCATCCATCAATTGTTTCCATATGCCCATATACGGTCAATGCTCCAGCTGTTTTGCAGCTAGATTTTGGGTCTAAAATGCCATTAATAACCTTTTTATTATCCATGTGAAAAATAAGACAGATACATTTTCAACAAACGGCTATGGGAAAGGCAATATGTTTAACACCATGACAGTAAAGTTTGACTAACTATCTGTATATAAATGTGTTTTTACAAGTCTAATAGGGAGTCTATTCACATCTACACTGCTGGCAAGTTACATCCTGCTTTGATCTCCTTCAGTTCAAAACGATCTCATGACTACTCCCAAAAACACAACGATCCCCTTGTTTGTTTGGATCGCTGACTTCAACAGCACATTACATTTACAGAAGGCACCGTTCAGTGATACTTGTCATGTTTAGTTACCGGCATTACAGGGACGTCCATGTCCACCAGGTCATCTGTCTCCACCACGTGCTCCGACTCGGGGGACGATGACTCGGCGGGGATCACCACCACGGGGCTGATGTGCTCCGACAGAGCCGACGCACGCAGGAAGTTGGGAGGGTTCTGCAGGAGCCAACAATTGTAATGTTTAATAACTATGGTTTTGGGTTATTATTTTTCTATAATACAATTATCCCAAAATATCTTAACCCTCCGGAAATCTGATATGTGTTACAACAAAAGAGTAAGTATAATATGAATATCTGGTGCCTACATTCAACACAAGTTGACTCACATCAATTCAATCTTCATTAAAGTGGTCATTTGCTTTGTGTCAGAATTCGTGTAATAGTAACTTGTCAGAGCAAGACTTAGCTCACACTGTATGACGGGATGTAGCTAAAAAGATAAAAGCGTTAAAGTGCCAATAGAAATGTTGTTTGTTTATCTCACCAGGAAGCAAATGTTGATTGCACAATGTAAAGGCCAGAGAATAATGATACCATCTGACTTTAGCTTGGTTCCCTATAAGCCTTGCTTGTTTACAGTTGAAAATAAATGTTTTCTTTGGTTTCCTTAAAATGAAGAGAAACAGATAGCCGCTCAATAATTTGCAGGGCATGTTTTTTTCACGTCATGTGCGTATGTGTTACATCCTCAAGTAGATATGAGTACATTAAAGACTGAGTGTGAACCAAAAGTACACAATGTGAAGACAGCGTACATGTCTCTTTTATCATTTCCGTTTATATCACATGTAGCAGCAAACATGCATAGCCTTTTGTAAATGAAGGGGGGTAGATAAAAGCTGAGCAGTTGATGTGAAAATAAAGAAGTTTAATATATAGAAATACAGTGGGGCAAAAAAGTATTTAGTCAGCCACCAATTGTGCAAGTTCTCCCACTTAAAAAGATGAGAGAGGCCTGTAATTTTCATCCTAGGTATACCTCAACTATGAGAGACAGAATGGGGTGAAATAATCCAGGAAATCACATTGTAGGATTTTTAATGAATTCATTGGTAAATTCCTCTGTAAAATAAGTATTTGGTCACCTACAAACTCCACTATGGCCAAGACCAAAGAGCTGTCAAAGGACACCAGAAACAAAATTGTAGACCTGCACCAGGCTGGGAAGACTGAATCTGCAATAGGTAAGCAGCTTGGTGTGAAGAAATCAACTGTGGGAGCAATTATTAGAAAATGGAAGACATACAAGACCACTGATAATCTCCCTCGATCTGGGGCTCCACGCAAGATCTCACCCCGTGGGGTCAAAATGATCACAAGAACGGTGAGCAAAAATCCCAGAACCACACGGGGGGACCTAGTCAATGACCTGCAGAGAGCTGGGACTAAAGTAACAAAGGTTACCATCAGTAACACACTACGCCGCCAGGGACTCAAATCCTGCAGTGCCAGACGTGTCCCCCTGCTTAAGCCAGTACATGTCCAGGCCCGTCTGAAGTTTGCTAGAGAGCATTCAGATGATCCAGAAGAGGATTGGGAGAATGTCATATGGTCAGATGAAACCAAAATAGAACTTTTTGGTAAAAACTCAACTAGACGTGTTTGGAGGAGAAAGAATGCTGAGTTACATCCAAAGAACACCATAGCTACTGTGAAACATGGGGGTGGAAACATCATGCTTTGGGGCTGTTTTTCTGCAAAGGGACCAGGACGACTGATCCGTGTAAAGGAAAGAATGAATGGGGCCATGTATCGTGATATTTTGAGTGACAACCTCCTTTCATCAGCAAGGGCATTGAAGATGAAACGTGGCTGGGTCTTTCAGCATGACAATGATCCCAAACACACCGCCCGGGCAACGAAGGAGTGGCTTCGTAAGAAGCATTTCAAGGTCCTGGAGTGGCCTAGCCAGTCTCCAGATCTCAACCCCATAGAAAATCTTTGGAGGGAGTTGAAAGTCCGTGTTGCCCAGCGACAGCCCCAAAACATCACTGCTCTAGAGGAGATCTGCATGGAGGAATGGGCCAAAATACCAGCAACAGTGTGTGAAAACCTTGTGAAGCCTTACAGAAAACGTTTGACCTCTGTCATTGCCAACAAAGGGTATATAACAAAGTATTGAGATGAACTTTTGTTATTGACCAAATACTTATTTTCCACCATAATTTGCAAATAAATTCTTTAAAAATCAGACAATGTGATTTTCTGGATTTTTTTTCTCATTCTGTCTCTCATAGTTGAGGTATACCTAGGTTGAAAATTACAGGCCTCTCTCATCTTTTTAAGTGGGAGAACTTGCACAATTGGTGGCTGACTAAATACTTTTTTGCCCCACTGTACATCTCATCAAGACTTACTTTTGAGCCTACAAACAACCCATAATTATAGATGAACTATCAGAAGGCAGAGCTTTAAGATTTGAAATCAATAGACACATGTGTGAACAGAAACCTGAAACAACCGTCACGGGGTCAAATGAGGCTTAGCTGTGTTTATAATTTGGAAAATTAAAGACTAAGCGAGGGGCGGTCCTCACCTCAGGCAACTGTGGGATCTGAATCAGCCTCTTGAAGAACTGCAGATTACTGGAGCGGTAGAAGAGACTCTTTAACCTGAAGCAGAGAGACGGAGAGATCAGGACAGAGGAAGGGAGGGCAGGAGAGTTGGACATTGAAAATGAATTCAGCACGATACTAAAAGCTCAGTCCTGGGGTTCACACTTAATGAATGAGCAGAGAGAAACCGTGACAGGCTGAGTTTCTGAGACTGAAAGTGAACTTCATACTTCTTAAACTGTTCCTGGAAGCGATCTCTGTGTCCCTGGAGAGTGTCTGCTGGAAGGCCTGCAAGCACACATCAAACACAAGCACGTCTGTTCAGGTATTCTGTGTGTTTATATAGTGTTGGAGTGCACACTTGGATTGTGGGGTTCTGAGTATGAATGTATTAAAGCGGGCAGGTGAAAGCCTTCAAAAATCTCCCTAAACACTTTTCTTTCCAGAAACTGAGAAAGACTTTTTGAAAGTGAATTCATGCATTTTTGAGGTAATCCAGCTAAGCTTTGAGAGGTTTCAGAAGCAAATGGGTCTAGAAAATTCTTTAACTCTGAGTTGAGCATGTCATCTTCAAATCTTTGAAGAAAAATTGCCATGCCTTTGAAGTATCCACACACATTATTTCTGCTATGCGAGACGTTCAAGAACTAAAGGTAAAGCTGGGAACTCAACAGCTGAATCCAATGCATTAAAGTTAGACTTTCTTATCTTAGTATTATACCAAAAGAACCACCTATATATAATCCAACTAAAGTATACTTCAAACTAAAATGTAGATTTTCTTCACCATCTTCATCATCATTATGGCTTTGATTTTGTTACTATTGTCTATCTGTCTTAGAAAGCTGCATCATTTGAGCTTTTATTATTATTATTTTCTTAAGTATGTTTTTCAGGTCCAATACTACGAAATACTTTGATTTTGAGATGAGCGAAAACAAGTATTTTGATAAATCAATCCATCATTAAAATAGTATAATAGCGTTATTTCATAAGCCAAGAGGCCCACTATTTGGTAGTTGTAGCTTCTCAGATATCAGGACTTTCTCATATTTTTACCATACACAATTGAATATTAGTAGAATAAGTATTGTATGTTTTGTGGACTATAAGTCAGATAACAGAAACAATTCAAGGACAATACTTGAGGAATCTATACTGACTAATTGAATTCCCATTTATTTTTTTTAAAGGTTGGAACTCTAATTCACAACTATTAACAAGTCCATGTTGGAGTGACAACTGAATTTACAACCACTGATTACATACATTACACAAACAATGACTAACTGCTCTGTGTTGTATGTGGATCTGTATCTATGTGGCATTTCCCTCTAAATGTAGGCTACAAGGTATTCCATTTCATTATTTAATAAAAAGCACAATACTGGTTTCTTGACCAACATTGAGCAACCTTTACTGTGTACGGTTTCCACTGAGCACGTAGTACAGTTTGACTCACAGGAGTGCAGCTTGAACAGCAGCTTGACGGTGTAGTCGTACAGGTGGCTGCTATCCAGGATCACCTGGATGAGGGGGGCCAGGCGACACTGCCCCGCCGCCGTCACCGACACCGAGCGAGACATGTCCAGAGAGCTGAACACTGGGAGGGGAGAGAGAAACACGCACCAGATCAACATTCATCGGTACAAACACACAACAACCACACACGAGTGATTATCAACACTAACACAGCGAGACAGGTGTGCACAAGGATCATCCGTCATGCATTTTTATGAATCAATTAAGTTCTGCTGTGCTCTCCGCCACAATAATTGAATAATAAAATGTTTGAGAGCAGATTATTGGGAGGAAAAAAGGCAGGAAAAAAGGTTTAAAGTGGAGCAGCAACCTGAACACTAACAGGACTGTCTGACTCCATCTTTACGCCTCTCTTTCATTTGCCAGCCACCGTATTTACACCACCCCTAAAGCATGGAGAGCCTCTGTTCACTGCAGAGGTGTGGTTTCACACACACACACACACACACACACACACACACACACACACACACACACACACACACACACACACACACACACACACACACACACACACACACACACACACACACACACACACACACACACACACACACACACACACACACACACACACACACACACACACACACACACACACACACACACACACACACACCACACACACACACACACACACACACACACACACACACACACACACACACACACACACACACACACACACACACACACACACACACACACACACACACACACACACACACACACACACACTTCTGGCCTGGCCTCTCTACCCTCAGATGACGTTATGCTTTTAAAATACACCAGTCCAGAAGAGGAAGCTGACGAGGGCTTTGAGATTTGGGTGTGAGGTGACAGACTATAATGTGATATTTTAATATTCTAGATATAGAAGGAGGACTGGGAGATAACATCAACCTCAGGACGCTAAATTACAGGCTTCATACATAGAACAAATCATTTCCCATGGGAGTGCACAGCTTTCCCACATTTTCTTCTGAGCTCCTGGTTACATCCTAACTGTCTATTTTTAGCCCCGTCCCATACTTTAAGAGACATAAATCCAGGATGACTCAGACAGAAAACAGCAGAGCAACAGTCTATTATCTGTAACCACTAATAGCTGTCAGCGTCTATTTCTGTGCCCAGTACACCTATCAGTCAGACGGTCTTCCTGTGTGTCATCAGTCTGTGTGTTTGTGTGTGCTCAGATAAGCACAGCTGGTAGCAGAGAGCACACAGCCAGACCAGAATAGCTTACCGCCCAGGAAGAGATTGAGCTGGCACTCCAGGTAGTCAAGCATCTCCACCGTCAACTGGAAGCTGGACGAGGGGAGACATGGAAAAAAGAGAGATGAGTGCTTTTACACGATTTCAGCAAACAAACATGTTTTATGTGTCCAAGTGAGTCCGATCAAGGAGTGTAAAAAGGTGCTTTCAGATTGATTTATATCCCGTCTCACACAACTGATGGTCAAAGAAAGGCTGCACAATGACGATTTCAACTAAACGTATAGCTAAGGACTACGTTATTTACCTATATTACTGCACTTAAAAAATCTTTTATTCATCAAGCAATATGCAAGTATTCTATAATCAGCAGAACATTTGATCAGAGAACAGTTTAATATCTGTTTATTTCTTGCAGGTTTTATCCTAATTGCTATGTTCAAAAAGCTAATTGCATATTTTCTATATTGTGCAGCCCCAGTCACGAGCATGACAAAACAAACAACAACAACAGATTGTGTTTCTTTGGATTTTTGTGAGTGTTCTCCTCCAGAGCTGAGTACAATCGCCAAAACAATGCATAATGCACACCTGAAAATGTATAGTACTGACATTATGGCTAAGCATTATATACTTTTTTTTAAGCGTCTGAACCTTTTAGAATATAGCAACTACAGAAGGTAAAACTATTTCTTGTTTGAACCGCTCACATCTCTAATAACTAACCTATGAGCGGTTGCTGGGGGACATTAGCTTTTTTTTAAAGAGTGAGAAGCCATAAAGTTCAGGGACCATGGCATGGGCGATATGAAAGCAGGGAGCAGCCAAATAACCACACTTCTTGTAGGGAGACTAACAAATGCAGAACCAATTAAGAAAATAATTAAATTAAGCTTTTCCTTGCCATTTCTTTAATTTAATCTCCTTATTCTAAGCCTTGTGATGATTAAAACTAATTACAAATCAAAACTTTGTTGACCACTTGAATTTCTAAACAGTTTTTCTTCTAACTTCTGCTCAACAACACCTACAAATATCGCGATGAATTAGTTATTGTGGCTGTGTGGTGCATTATGATTCATTTATTCAATCAATTACATTTCCTTTCAGACTTTGGTCAACAGTGAAACTTATTCATATCTGGATGTTGTGGTCTGGCCTGCAATAATAATAACAACAACAACAACAACAACAACGCCAGGCGAAGCAGCAGCAGGCCACACTCACAAGTTGTTAACGTCGTTTTCTCCCGCCTCGTCCAGCTGTCTGTTCGACATCTGCAGGTTGCCAGGGAAACGAGGGTTCTGAAAGAGAAGACAACAGGAGGAGGTTTAGACGCCCATCTTTACAAACACATGAAAATGTACAGGCAGAATACATGTTTAAAGAGGCCCTATTATGCTCTCCCACACTACCCTCCCCTTTCATAATCATTAAAACATTTCTTTATTTAAATATTTCCTTTACATCTGATATGTATCAAAGGAACTTTCTTTTTACTATAGTTTTGGTCTCTACTACTCAGAAAATAATATGGCTCTTCAGCTGCCCAGCAGGGAGTGTACAGTGTGTGTTTTTAGATGAGTGGCGAGAAAAAGAAAAAAACAAATCAGTAAAGTTGTAGGCCAGAAAATCAAAAGAAATAGCTCAAAAGTAAAGCTGTAGAGTCAGGTGATGATTCTGTGTGGCTTCATCACTCGTGTTATGTGACATACATAATCATGTGATCCATTTTTCGTATAACAAGATATTTGTTGCTTTATGTAAATTATCTGAATAGTTCCTTTCCACTGTTTGGTAAGTTTCCAGAATGAAACGCTGTGAAAATCTGAGGTAAATGTTTTGTTTGGACTTTGGATTTTAACTCACTAGTTGAAGCCAATCAAAACAAGAAACCTGGCTCTGATTCAAAAAGGTTTTGATGCTGGATCAAACAGCAGCACTGAAATCAGTGAAAACCGTTCTGGTTACTCTTTATCTGAAATATATTATGTTTAATGTGAGGACTCAAAAGAGACAACAAATCCTCATCGCTTCACATAACACACTTTTCAGATTAGAAAATAGTGCTAGATGCACCATATGTTTTGCAATACACATTTTATATTGTAGAAAGTGATTATCTAGCAAATAAAAATGATTTAAGTACGGTAGATATTATTCTACCAGCTCTTTGCTTTATAAAGTTAATAAAAGACTGCGCTTACAGGAGCTGATTGTTGATTAATTGACCTTTATCTAGTGCAGGGGTGTCAAACTCAAGGCCCGGGGGCCAAATCCGGCCCGCGACTTCATTTTATGTGGCCCCACAACAGCTTGCAAAACATATGATATGTTTATTATACGGCTACATGCCGCTTTACAGAAGCTTGTTGCCCATACATGGAGCACAATGCATCTCAAATTTTACTTTTTTCTCAGAATTTGCCTTTTTCCCCAGAATTTGGCTTTTCTTTTAAATCATTGTGACATTCTTACTGAAAAGACTTGCAATTATTTGCTAGACTTCTGCTTTCAGACGTAGTTAATTATGAAGTTATTACCCTATCCGATAATAATCCAATGCAGAGGCAATAATGTAATATAATACATTATTTTATATATATATTAAATTTTTATATATGTATTTTTATATAGTCTTAAAGTTACAACCGGCCCTTTGAGTGCAACCATAATGCGAATGTGGCCCGTGATGAAATTGAGTTTGAAACCCCTGATCTAGTGTGTGACTAGAGAATTAGCATTTCCTTCTCTGTGAGCTCAGCAGAGTGAGGCTTACAGATCTGCAGGCTGACGCATGTGTTTCTCCTTTGACTGCCATGTTACTTCATGTCAAATTGCCCTCTAAGACAACCCTCAAAGATTAGCCATATCTTCCTGATATAGCACTGACTCTGCCTTCCAGCACCGCTCTCCTCTGATGTCTCATAAAAAGGCTTCATTACAGATTCTTGAGACGCCATTAGTGTTAAAGACAGAATTTGCTGTAAAAGGCTTTCCCACCCGCAGAGACACGCTGGCACTAAAAAGAGAGTCTGAGACAAAGATAATGAGTGATGAGGGAGACTGGCGCTGGATTTTTATAGGCCAGGCCGACTCACTTTGATGTGGAACTCCATTTTGGTGATGAGCAGTTTGAGGTAGATGCTGCACAGCTTCCCATAGCCTTCACTCAGGTGACCCTGGGGGGAGAGAGAGGGGGGGAGATAAGGGACATGAAGATAAAGAGAGACATGATCAAAGGTATAACAACAAATGTTCTCCTCCAGGAGGATTTGCAGGATTGCTGGTTAAAGGAAACTTAAAGAGCGTTCATTTTTAGTTTTGAAAAAACCCGTTGTGGCACACAAAATACATATGTGGGCAAAGACTGTGGAGCTGAGTTACACCACAACAGCCAACATATTCTCCCTTCCTGCTGCCAAACCGATTTAAAATCTCTGTTTAGTTCACCATGTGTGAAAATGTGCCTGGTCACAGAGTGTGGACAAAGTTGATACGAGCAGCCATTTGGCCAATTGCTTTTTCACTTCCTTTTTCCTTGAGCCTGAGAGTGTGGGTGGTGATGACACAAGAGGAAAAGAGAGGCCACAACCCCGATCACAGCGGCCAAACTTCCTGTATCCTCCTGCCTAGTGACTTCAGCAAAAAATGAGTAATAGAAAAACACCCAGGAATGCAGAGCAGGCCCTCACATAACGTCCGGTGAAGGTTATATCGAAACCAAGTTCAATTTGTAGCTCATGTGTAGGTACAGACGGTTACACACACAGTATTTATATTATTTTCTTGGCCTAAAGATTGTATACTTGTAAATGAATGCACTCATTAGCTCAAGCTAGGCTACTTTATTTTCTCAATGATACATGAAATCAACATTATAGTATTGCTAGTATAACACAAGTTACACAAGTAAGCAAATCGTAATATATGTTAACCCCTTCACATAACTATATACTGTTATGTAATTAACAACAGGTGGTATAAGAGATTTCCCACAGAGAAGCTAACAGTCTATCTCATACTACTACTGTCTATTAGTCAAATCATGTAGCTGGCAGGCATTGTGTTGTGAGCTCTGACTGTCACACTTGGCATGTTTTTACATGGCTTTGTTCATCAGAGGCTACAATGTCTGTCACTCAGACAGCATTAGGCTGATGAGAAACACATCATGTAATCTGATGGCTGTAACACGGACAGTGGAGGGTTGTAGAGTAATTCTGCTCTGTACAAGCTTCTTTTAACAATTATCCTTATGTCTACACTCCAATCCCCCGACACGGAGAGGATCAAGTTGACATTCATTTTAGTCGCTGATTCATTACAGGGGCTGGTTTAGAAACAACAATGATATGCTGCCTATATAGCACTGGTGGCCTTAGCATTATTAATGATATTGATGTAATGTGTTTCTAAATATCGACATCCTTTGACAAGACACAATCAGTTTCAGAGTCCACAGAAGAGAAGATCAACTATAGCATAAGATCCTCCTCAGTGTGACTGCGTGATGTGATTTGTATAATGTTCTCTGTGTCCTTACCCACATCCGGCTCATATCAGTTAGATCAGCCTTGTTCCTCATGGAGTCCTTTATCACCTGCAGGGACAGCAGAGGAGACCGGAACATTTGTTAAAAAAACAGGACTCGTTATCAGTTATAATGAACTGAATGTACATGTGGTGTGATTTTAACTAAATGATGAATCATGAGGAAAATGATCTGTAGTTAACACAAGAGACAGAGAGGAGATCAGATCTGTTAGGAGTGTACGAGTGGAAATGGTAAAGCTTTGTCATCTGTACGTACGCTGGGATGGCCGTCTCGCAGCAGCTTGTGGAAGACGTGGCAGAACTTCCAGCAGAGCACGGCATTGCTGGAGAGGGGCAGCCGGTTGACCGCTGCCCAGAAAGTGTGGGCCCCTTTCTCATGATGGGTCCCCAAGATGCAGGGTGCCGGGGCCGGTCAAGGATCACAGTGAATTATTTTGTGGGCCATTAATTTGGCTGGTGAGCCGTGAAATTAAACGTTACATTTTATCATCTTGTCATTTTGTATTTCTCTGCCTCCTTCAGAATCTGAATCAGAATATGTTTATTAGTCCCACAGAGGGGACATTTACATTGGCTAGGAATGTCACTCTGATAAACTGAAATATCTATATCATTATTACTTTTTAAAAATCTTGACCAACCCATATACATAAAATACATGTTTTAACAATAAGTATTACATTATTTTTACTGGAATTTCTTGTTTAAAAGTGGTTGCTTCTCTAAGACACCAATCACCAGTTTAAACAAAGTTTCTATGTTGACAGCTCAGACAATGCTTTTGAAGGGTAAAAATAAAGTGCATAATGGTCTACTTTCCTCATTAAAAATATGATTAAAAGGGTTTGCACTGCAGAGTGTGTCTTATAAAAGCCAAATTGCATGTTTTAATTATGAAAATACACACTTAATTTTTTACTGAATCTATTTTTTGAAGTCATAAAACTAAAATAATGAACCTCTGTATTAGGTTTCTCCTCTCCCTGGGGCTCTGCAGCCTCTAAACAGAACTCCCCTCTGTCTGAGAGCTCAAAATTAGCTCTGCATCAGGGCCACATGCAGATGACGAGGCTACACCAAGTTTGTTGTTTTGATCTTGCACAAACGTTACCCTCAAAGCAACAGCTCCACACACAGACAAACACACACAAGGAAATCAGAGTAAACACACTTCTTCTCCTCAAAAACCCACACATTGACAATGTAAGGATATTCCTGGCATGCTTCTCTTTGACAGCGACCTCCTGTGTGTTGATGGCCTTATTGATGCTGACAGCCTGGGAAGAGGAGAAGGAAAGGAAGGGCAGAGGAGAACAGAGGAGAGAAATGGAGAACACAAATCAGTCAGCAGATATTTCCACAGCAAATACAGGAAAATATTCGTAGAGAGTTTCACTTAAAACCACCCTTCCTCTTTTTAGAAAGTAGCTCTTTCCTTTAATAACCACCTGGGGAACTAGAAGAGCAACGTCTTTTGGATAAGGGTGTTTGACCTATTTTCTGCAGAGTTAGTATTCAAGGCATCAGCTGAGAGGCTCGAGCTCCTCTCTGCTTTTGAGGATGAAGCAAACATCTGTCTCTTTACCTGCAGAACACACTCACTACCTTAAATTAGCCTAACATGTTAAGTGTATGTTAGAGGAAGGGGGGGGTCGCATTTTGACTTTATTTTTGGATTTGGTGTCATAAAACAGAAGAATATAATGAATCATGTAAATTGTGTCTATGGAATCACAACCAGAGCCATGTCCAATTCAGAAGCCTACATTTACATTTAAGAGGAACGGGTTAAGACTGTATGCAGGCCGACTAAACGGCAGATACCCACGTGTGGATGATCAGGGGAGTATCTGTCTCTGCTGTGAAATCTACTGAGGAATGTTGGCCAGGCTAAAAATGAACTTCTTCCAACTTTAGCTCAAATTAAAGTAGCATCCAACTCGGCTTACAGAAATACTCAACACTCTTGAGTTATACGAATCCCATAGTTAAGGAGTCATGAGATTAGAAAGCAGTGGTAGTAGTGTTTGATATCTACAGGATGAAATACAACATCAGTAGTTCTGATGGATGTGTTTACCTGCTGCAGAGTTGGAAGATATGACAAGGATTACCATCATTGAGCATTAGTGATTAGTGTTTTAGTTACAACTAAGGTCTTTTTATTAAAAGGTGGAGTTTATTTTGATAGAGAAAACTGTCTGGTATGCCATTAAAAAAAGGCTTAAGCTAGCAGATTTTTGAGAATGTACTATTTGTTCCCTATGGCAATGTCATTTGGCAGGCATTTGGTCATAAATCAAAGTTCTGATGCAATGATGGCACTAGATAACAAGTATAAAACAGTACTGAACTTATTTAACCTTTTAAGGCAGAGATATGTTTTTTTCTTTTTATTCTACACATTATTGCCTTGCTAAAACCTTTAGGCCACTGACTGCATGACCCATAATGCAATTCTACTACCATTTTTTTTGGAGATTCAGGTGTGTTATACTTTTAGCGGCTAATTGAGCCCAGAGCTAATGTGAGTTCACTCCTTTATAACTCCACACTTCCAGATTTTTAAAGACCAAATTGTAGTCTACAGCCCCAACAAACACTGACTCAAGTGACACCAAATCAAGGCAATTTACTAGGCTTCACTCAGCTTCCAATGGAGACTCAAATGGCTTCATAGAACTTAATTTCACACGTAAAATAACTCCCCAAGAGGATACATCCACTAATGTAATGGTAATCTATCAAATAGTTGTCAAGTCATTTTGATATCAAACACAACTTCCAAACCTATGCAAGTACTGGATTAAAAGTTATTTCATTAATCCCATTAATTATTCCATGCCAATTAATCCAATAGCGGTTGAGTTATTTTACTCTGGACCCGAGTGGTGCGTTGTCCGGCAGACTACCACTGCCACCCATAGAGCAGTAAAGCTTGCTGTACTTGGTCTTGTTGTTTTTTTTAAGTCCAATAGAAGTTGTGCTAGGCAGCAGAACAGAAAAGCTCAGGGATGAAATACATGTGAAAAATATTCCAGGCCAACATTGTTTAAGCCGTTTCAGATGCTTTTCAAAACAAGGTGTTCTGAAGCGGCATCTGGATGACATATCACGTTGCACATGAGAGGAAACTCAGTCAAAGAACACCATACATCTAAAAAATGCTGAAGTCAAGAAAGAAAAAAGAGTCAAACATGCATTTTTTTCACTATGCTTTGCATGGTAATCATGGACCCCTGAGTGCGGTGACCGGGGTCAACAGAGGACCGGAGGCCTGTTTCATAATCTCACATCCCACAGATGTCCTGCGTATGCTCCTTCTCTTCCAGTATGTGAGCTGTCAGGGGAGGAGGAGGAGGAGGAGGAGGAGGAGGAGGAGGAGGAGGAGGAGGAGGAGGAGGAGCAACCAGGATCATTGGGAAGGGAAGGAGGCACAGATTAAGGAAAGAAGAGGAGGAATGTAACAGCAGACAATAGACTGCATCCTCCACACAAACAAGTTTCATGTCCTCAGAAATCTAATATATGAATGAGAAGAATTCTAAGTCACAGCAGTGGTTCACTAAAGCAAAGTGAGAGAGGGCAGGATGACATTATTAAACATCATGCACACGCCTGTAATCGGCTTGCAGGCCTGCTGATGAAGAGGAGACACCGCAGTGTGTGCTGTAAACACGGCTGACTGACCACGCTTCCCCTCCGTCATTAAACATGCATGATGTTGATTAAACATGAGCACCGGAGCTACAAGTGTAGCACCTGTCCTGTTGCACACGACCAAGAGCCGTGTGTGTGTGAGTGTGTGTGTGTGTGTGTGAGTAATGTAAAGGTCAAACCCAGCAGGGGTTTCACTGTCCAGGCTGTGCAGAAGAAAGACTGCGGTCAAACCTACAGTCTGTTTCCCCTGATCAACACCACAAGGGGAAGGTCACAGTGGTCAATTTGAGCATCTGCTTTTTAAGACGTTACATCCTGTTTAAGAGTTCGAAGTTTGTCAGCAGAAATCATACATTTGCATTTCCTTTCTTATCTCGTCTTCCCAGCTGATGAACCAATTACACGTAAGGGCTAGGGGCTTCTGTTCTCGCATAAGCAAAATAGTAATTATTGTGTAATTTCCTGTCACAGCCCTGGTTAAACTGTCAACAAAAATGACATCGCGTATTTCATCAAGGGTTACGATAGGTTTCAAAGTATTTGATTGTTAATGTAATAACTTTCACATAACATTTTATTTTCTTACAGTTTCCTCTCACGCAAAATTCAAGGGATGGTAAATGGACCACACTTATATAGCGCTTTATCGGGTCTTTTCGACCCCTTAAAGCTCGTACATACTACGAGTCATTCACCCGTTCACAAGTCATTCATACAAAGCAGTGCTCTAGGATTCACACCATCACACACACACATTCAGAGTTAAGTATATTGCCCAAGGTTACATTGACATGTTGACTGCACATTATGGGATCGAAGCCACAACCTTCTGGTTCGAAGACGACCACACTCCCTCGCAGCCACAGTCGCCCGATCCCAAGGGATGATGGAAAAATCTCCCAGTGCAACTAGTTCCCACATGAGGATGACCCAATTAGCCCACAGTGAGACTTTGTACTTTGTGGGTTGAATGAGAGTGCCAGCTGCCTGGGACTCCTGGCGTTCGCTGCTGGCATCGATGCATCAACGACCTGCTAGCTCCTCGCAGTGCGGCCACAAAGAACAGCTGACAGAGTGATAGAGGATGAAGAGCAAACATTTGCCCTGATGGAGTCCTCCTTAAATAGGTCAATGTGGACAGAAACCTCAACTCCTTTCCTCCTTAACATCCACCCTCATCCATAACTTCCCTTGCTTGAAGTACAATCCCCAAGAGATATAATAAGGATTCAATCTATAAATCCCCATCTGGACACAAATCTCCTAATTGCATCTTTGTTTCTAGAGAAACATTTCTTTGTTGCCACAGCTTTGATTACAAACAAAGTGTTATTGATACAGCGTTGAAAGTTTGTTAAATTAAGCCTGGCAAGCCCCAATCGGCCCTTGTGTAGAAGGCAGGGCATTGATATGCTGATGGTAGCCTGGCTGTGTCCGCTGAAGGGTCAGTGCACAGAGCCCAGGGAGAGGAAGCATCTTCTGCCTGCTAAATCAAACAGCGCTCGCTCATCGACTCACTTGCCCTCCCAGAATCTTCTGACAGGTTTGCGAGAGCTTTGGATTAATGAAGGCCACGGCAGTTGTGTCCTGGGGATATGTCATTGAGTCATTGGACAGTCACTCCATGACGGTAGCAGAGAAAAGACCGTCTCCTGGTTATTTTTGTCTTTACTGTGGCACATTTCATATCAACATTAATGATGAGACAACCCCGCGGCCAGTAGTGTGCAATCATAGGAAATAACTATGGAAAACCACTAAAGGGCTAAATTAAAGAGGGGTACATTTGGAAACACTTGTTCTCAGATTTAAATTCTCATGGTCAGAGAGGCCTTGTATGACCCTGATCTGAGTTACAGTACTATGATTATATGACCCCAGTTATTTCGATTCGGAGGGAGGAGGACACAAAGAAGGGAGCACCCATGATAGAATTTGCTGTAGTTTTAGCTTCACATGTTAGTCATATTTCTGACTGACTTGTTTCAATGCTCTTATAAAGAAAGACAAAACTCTATGTCCTATGCACCTATTTAACAGTCATGGGTTAGGTACTACTCTTAATACATGTTTCTCCAAAGTTCTTTGCAGTATTTCCTTCCCTTGATTTATATTCAGGTTTTCTGATTCAGACTTTCAGACCTGAAATGATTAGTCCATCCATCGATTAAACAGTTTACAGAAAATGAATGAGCAACTACTTTGGTAAACATTCACTAGTACCAGCATCGCAATTGCGAGAAGCTGCTGTTTTTGTCTAATTAAGATGCATGTCAATTCAATATGTTTTTGGTTAAAAGCTATTTTTTTCGGGTTGGCCATTGACAAATGGTGATGGTCACTTTTTAACAAGTTGATTTATGGTTTTACCCACACTGCCCAAAAAGATGGGACAAAACAGGTACCATTTGTACCTAAGTCTGCAGAGTCCTCCATCGTCAATATTTGTCTCAAAACCATCAATTATCTTAGAAAACTCACTCAACCTAACAGAGACAAGTACTTCATATTGTTTTCTGACTTTCTATCACTATCTGTTGGTAAATGATTCCCCTTTCCACGGAACAGAGAACTTTTTTTCTTGCGACTTAAGCTTAAAAGAACGGTTGTTAAGATG